ACGCCTGGTGGCTGAGAGAAAGGTCCTCAGGAAAATATTAGATCCACTCCAACAAAGGAACGGTAGGTAGAGAGTCCGAACTAACGCTGAAATAGAAGAGCTCGTCGCCCTGTTAAACATCGTCGGCGAAGTCAAAGCGCACAGACGTCTCTGGCTCGGCCATTTAGAAAGGATGGGAGAGGATCGGAACGTGAAAAGAGCCTATCTGGGTCGACTTACTGGACGAAGGCCGGTTGGTCGTCAAGGGTATCGCTGAAGCGACGCCGTGGACGCGGACCTGCGCGAACTACAAGCCATCAATTGGCGAGAGATTGCATATATATATATATATATATATATACACACACACACACACACACACACACACACACACATATATGCCACAAAGCTTATGGTAAATTTCAAATTAAATTTTACACTTAAATACCGAAAAACTCATAGGTGCAAGCCCAAATCCAAACCCATGGCCGTCTGCTTGAGAGACGGTAGGTCACCCATTAGGCTATCACGGCTTTACACTTCCTTGTTATACAATTCTGAAATTGCCAATGTGATAATATTACATCTCCGGTAAAAAATAGACTTAATTGCAAAAAAAGTTATGCCAAACATTTTTAAAATGCAATTTATACGGAAAAACAGAGACGCATTATACATTCCTTAATTTTTCTATAAAGAGCGTAATGCGTATTGAAATAGTATAACATTTAAGAGCTCTTCAAATGGGCTCAGTAGGCCTAAGTACAAAACTTTTAATTAATTTTCTGTAAATTTTACAAATGTAAGTTAAATCACTGATTCGCCGGGATGTGCCATACATAGTTGTATTTAAATACCTTAGTATACACAATATGACACCGTCTCAAGTTTCAAGTGCCTATATAGTTTGCATGCAGTCCCTAAGTGCTTCGTGATATTATTATAAAGTAAGTTTCACAATGTTGTTATTTGATCGTAAGTACTCAGCTTATACACTACCGAGTTCTTTATTGGTAAAGTTTTTGCAAAGAGCGTTTCGATGTAAAATTAATTACATCAATGGTGATTTATTTTCACGCTACTGCTGTGACAACGATATTAAAAGTGGATTAAGTTAAGCACTGGGTTGACATTTATTGATCGTTACGACCGCTGATCAGAGTAGACTCTAGAAAATACAACGTATATCTATGTAAATTTCAAGACAATAATACACATGGAGTGTATTCACTCTATACAGAATTTTAAAACAGTTTGAATGCAGTTGGCGCGACTGCATCGCAATTGCACGCCATCAGTAAGTACTAATAAGTATATTTTACCGCATAACTAAAATGTTGTACATAATGCGGAGTTCGAAGTGATAATTATCATTGATAAATATATCTTGATAATTATAAAATGAATTGTAACAACCAAATTCTACCGTTAGCAATGTCGTGTCATGTGTTTTGTATCAGAAACGTATCCAAAGCTGGCAAACGTCAATCTAAAAAAAAGTCAAATTATATTATTTTCACAAAGGTTATTCTCCGTGTTTATTTAGTTTACTCACTGTTTTTCATTTTTAGCATGGACCTACCAATAGGTGAATGATTTTCTATGAAAACTATGAATCAACAAGGATAACTATTTGATAATTATCATGATAAATATCAAAGAAAAGTAATATCTTGATAATTTTGAAATTTTGAACTGATATACTTTAACAATGATGGCTTAGACTTTGTCCAAATTTCTACTATAGGGCAATTTCAGAAAGAATTAACAATTAACCATAATATGTACAGCCAAGAAAAATATATTAAAAAAACTTTTAAGTACCTAAAACAATAATTAAATGTAATTTGAAAAAAATTGCCGCACAAACGGCACTTGTTATATAATACAATATTATAATACAATACATATGTTATATAAATACAATACAATGTATAATCAATAGCTAGATAAGTATTTCGAATGTAAACATACTCACCTAATCATGTAAACACTCACTAAGGAAATGCTAAGGTCCATTTCACAATAGTTAACTAATGATGTATTACTTAACTAATTATGTTTAACTATCTCATCGTTTTTCTACTATATAATCTTAAACCATAAGAACTGTAATTGATTACTATTTCCTAACTCATAGACATCACATCTCTGTAAAATACTTATAATTTAATAAATATATTTTTTTTAAAAGTTCTCTCGCTGCTCATTTGGTAACACACTACGTGTCAACTCAGAACGCATGACGTCATTGGTAGGTAAATAAAGTAGACATCGTGCTCTTACCACTTGTGAAAATTTTACGTATTGATAAACTAATGTCTTCAATCCAATTTTTTTTACAGTTTTTAGTTTAAAAAATGGTTCATCTGACAAAAAACAAGGTGAAAATCGAACAGCGAGTACGGTGATGTGACTTTCTTCACCTACATGTGACGTCACGTGGTGCCTTGGTGTTTGCATAACAAATTAAAAAAATATAATTATCGTTTTTGAAATACAAATCACTTTTATTTCACAAAAATAATTATTAAATCATCGTTTTTACTATACACATTTTCACACAAACACATTTTTTAACGACATTTAAGACGTTTTTCTGAATCTAGTTTTTCCGGGATTTTCGAATCTCGATATTTTTTTTCCGGGGACGCGGAAATGCAACGAGACTGTTCTACTTAAGATATACAATACATCACGAAGAATAACGTTTCTGCTAGAGAATGGAGGTGGTTAGTTTAATATTGTGCAGCTTTGCGTAATCCTTTTAATCGCGAACAAACTGAACCGGAACTTAAGACGAGTCACCGGAAGAGAATCAGCTAAAACTGTTTTGCTAGATCTAATTGTTTAGATATTTACTATTAAAAACAGTTCTACAAAAAATATACGATATACTTAAGGATATTGCGTAAACAATGAGTTAATTAGTTACACGATATGATGTACTTTATCCGATCATATAAAATCTTGAAAACATGATAAAATAAAAAAATCACAAATAATTATAGAAGAATAAAATATTTAACTTCGTACATTGTTTTTATTTGGTATTTCTCTTAAGTACTATAGGGAACCTGCTAAATTTTGGTTATAAATTGAAGCCCTATAATTATGAAATTCACGTTTATCCCAAAAATTTGCAAATTGTCCAGTGGTTTAAAGATACGCCGCGACTTTCGCTGCCCCGTCAGTTACCATCGGGTGCTAGTCGAGGTTGGATCTGTGTCAAACTTTCTCCGCCTCTTCTTATTGTATGTATTTTTATTTTATTCATGTTAATTTATAGCGCACCAAGAGTGGGACGCGAGGGGCGACCACCCACGCTTCACCTCCTAAAATCTAGGCCCGCGTTGAAATACTCGTACGTCGCCTTAATAGTAAGTGGGAGAAAAATCGATCACAAGAGACACGATTGAAGGCAATAAAATCCGTTCAAAAGTATTACCGCGGCGCAACCATGGTCGAGAGAGCAATAAACTATCTGGAGCCGTTCCTAAAGCCTCTAGACTTTAGCAGGTCACGTACCGATAGTACTATCATCTCTATGAACTTTGGAAGCATACTCAATTTTACAGCAGATTTTCAACCTATTTATTGCAAAAGACCATATTTTCCATGATTTGAAAATTAGATGATATAAAAATAATTTTTCAGATCTAAATAGCGTACAGGGTCAGGAGCCCGTCAAGCTTTACACTTAAGACTTAAATCCAACTCTACGCCGCTTACGATGAGAACGGTCCAAAGCACAAAGTGTATTTGTTTTTTTTTTCAAACAAACCAACGTTTTGGGACCTTTACACGTTGACTAAGAACTGAGAACTCGATTAGTGGGTATGTTTAA